ACACATACATCTGCGTCCTGCGTTTGATAGTTCCAGTCCCATGTTGATTTACAAGACTCCTCGTGCGTCCGCTGTGCTTCTCGTGCTTGGCTGTGCCGATCTTTACTCCCATTTCTTGCACTCTTAGCAAAGATGTGGATGTGCTGCTCCCAAAATCCTCCGATCGTCCACCTCTCTAATGGCGTTAACAATGTCTGCGTAATTCATGGGCCGGCCCTCTTTACAGGGTATTAAGTATGAACAGATGCAGCATTAAAAATATGTTTTCGGGTTGTACATTTTAATAATGAGGGCTAAAGCAGTGTCCATACGATGTATTACCTGGCATATTTTGCTTTCCATGTTGTTTTATTCCCCTTCCTTTTAACTCTTGCTGTCCCATACATCCGACCTCATCTATGTGAGGTTGGGCATTTTATTGTTGACATGTACTAGTTACGATGTTATGTTTGTACATCTTATATTTAGCGAGAGACGCTGAAGAACTCAAGGATTCTCTATTTGGCCCCCCTGAAAGTAGTTTACACAGGAGTTCAGTTTTGCCATTCATGACTCTATCGGATATTTGCAAGGACCTTGCAGGAATTGAAAGAGTTAAAGCATACACGTATGATACGAGTATTAAAACTGGCTGAAGCAGTGGCAAATATGATGAACCGAATGGAGGATGACCCAGAGTGACAAACATCGAGAAGATGGGGATAAGAGGAACACGTCTGGGACAGGCATGAAGGAGCGGTCTGGCTACTAGGATAGGAACATAAAGCCAGAGAGCTGGAGCAGATACCGCAGTCTTAGCCAAACATGTAGCGTTGATAAACCAAACCACAAATATAACCAGAGACTTTTAGCAGCTCGCCAACATGTTGGACGTGGTCATTTTTTTTTCCATTTTTTTTTCTAGAATGGAATGGATTACAAATATGACACGCATTGCCGCTTCGACTATAAACGAAAAGATGAGTCAAAGAAGCCAACGGCGCCTTCTCCATGACAACCAGCAGCATGACGATGGAGGTGATGGCAGTGACGCAAGCGTTTGCCTGGCTTGAAACACAAAAATACACCCGCATATGTATACTCAGTGATTCAATGAGTATGATCCGGAGGGTTCAGGCAGGTTCAGTGCGAAGACAATGGCTTGCATCAATTCAGAAGTCCACTGTGCGTGGAGTCACCTTTATTTTTGTTCCGGGACACGCAGGCGTTGATGGAAATGAAAGAGCTGACAGGTTGGCTGGATCCGCTATCACTACCGACGGTCGGCCTATGGATCATGATGATATTATCAATGCCCTCAGAGAAATGGGAAGGATAGAGGACTTTGGTGGCAGTGAATCAACATCACTCGCCAGAATGGCAGACTTGGGAATTAAGATTGGCACAGCAAAAAACGAGACGCACACCGGACACGTCAGAAGACTTGTTAATCAACATAGAACTGGTACTATTAGCCATCGGACGTTGGGATCATACTGAGGGGAGGATCTGAGCACCTATGGGCATGTCCGGAGTGCAATGATGATAACCCAACTAACTAACTAACTAACTAACTAACTAACTAACTAACTAACTAACTAACTAACTAACTAACTAACTAACTAACTAACTAACTAACTAACTAACTAACTAACTAACTAACTAACTAACTAACTAACTAACTATCGAAAAGATGGCATAGTTTTGTATTCATGTAACAATCACATGGTTACTCTTATACTGTCTATGCTGAGATGCACAATGTAACAAGATACTGTGTGATTTGTGCATTTCAGTCAAAACGATTCCTGCTTGAACTTGATTATATATTGATAGTATTGTGTCTGACCGGATACAGGAAAATGTGTCTAGCAATACACTAGACAATACTTTGTGTCCCCTATTTATTTATTTAAGTATAAAATTCTGCTTTTATCACTGGCTTCACAAAACAAGTTATACCTTCATCACTGTAGCTGCTTTTATTTATTTTTATTTTATTTACTCCACCAGGACATCATACAAGCGATAAATACCCGATGACAAAAAGTGCCACCTTGCGGATGAGGATCACCATGGAGAGGTCTTAGAAGCCGCATTCCGCCATTAGACCAAATTGTATTGCAGCCCCCTGCAAGAGCCAGAGTAGCGCTTTAACTCTTTGAGTCCCAGGAGGTTTATCATCAGAGGCCCAAGGGGTAGTCAAAAGAGACGTTTAATCGGCGCATCTTGCGTTCATTTAGCCTCAGGTAGGAAACTATGAACATATGATGCGTTCCTTGGGACTCAGAAAGTTAAATAACAAAAAATTACATCCCTCAAGGGGATGACAAGATTTTTAATATGTATATAAGGTAGCTGGAGTTTCCTCGCTGAACCATTTCTTTGAGAGATGATGTCCGGCCTTGCAGTTAAAAAATTGTTTTCACAGAAAGATAATGATGGGAATAAATATTCAACAGGCATCACTACCTTCCCCGCACATATTTTCTAAATAATGACGAAAGGAAACTAGTCCCGTTGGTTTTATTACAAACGTATAAACGGTATATTATTAAATGTGTAAGAATTTAGGCAAGTGTTCAAAGGCGAGCATGCAGCAAATGCTAAGGTTAGTTTAGTTTGGCCAAATCTATTAATAGGCGGGGTCCATGGCTTAGGTATTGCTAATCCACCTCGTAATTCCAACGTACTGCGATCGAAACCCAATGCTGGCTGCATGTATTTTATCATGGCATGGGTCGTCGCAGTGGACCCAGCCTAACATGGGTACCAGGATGTATGTCCTGGGATAATAAAGACGGCCGGAGTAATGCTGACCACATTACCTACCTAGTGCCGATGGGTCAGTAAAACTGTGGGTGCTCGTCACAAATGCCCGATGGGCCTAAAAGCGTGAAAATGGATCTTTACTAATTTACATCTATTAATAAATAAATAATAAGTTTGTTTAAAGATTTTGGGATGCGTTTTATTTGACTTCGCTTCCTTTAATACTTCGGGGAAAGGAGGAGTGAGTTTGCCATACAACCACATTTTCTGTAGAACAACACATCTTCTCCGGATGACTGGAACAAAAGCAACCCTCCAGAGCCTACGTTAATGACAATAGCGCCAGAACACGGAGGCCTGGACACATCGAGGACGCCCCCCCCCCCCCACCCTCAACCATTATAAGTAAGAGCTGCTTCAGACACAGCAATGCGTTAAAGTTGTCTTTCAAGTTTTTGTTTATACATAAATACTATTTAAAATATTTTTTTCTTCTTCTCCCAGGTTGGCTGCGGGGCCCCATTTGGGGGGGGGGGGGGGGGGGAATGGTAGAGAAGAATAGAACCTATGCCTGCCTAAAAGCATGTCACAAGTGTCGACTAATTGGAAGCTTTCTTTAAACTCGTACATCTGCCTGAGAGGCAACAGTCTTCATACAAATGAGTTTAACCCGTGAAACAGATGTACACGCATTACTCGGATTCTGGAACAGGACTAAAAATCAGAAGTGGACGAACTATCAGAACTTCCTGCCAGAGTTTGCAGCTGGTGAACGCGAAAAGAAGAAGAAGAAAAAGAAAAAGAAGAAGAAGAAGAAGAAGAAGAAGAAGAAGAAGAAGAAGAAGAAGAAGAAGAAGAAGAAGAAGAAGAAGAAGAAGAAGAAGAAGAAGAAGAAGAAGAAGAAGAAGAAGAAGAAGAAGAAGAAGAAGAAGAAGAAGAAGAAGGAGAAGAAGAAGATAAAAAAGAAGAAGATTTCAAGTATGTTATAACATTTATCTGCCATCATCATCATCATTGTTCTGTTGTGTCATTATTTATCACACAGGGATCGCAGTCTACTTCTCCATTCCGTTCTATCCTGTGTAATCCCTCCGATTTCAAAGATGGAATCCAGTCCTTTTTAGGATTTCTTTTGGACTCCCTATTCTTTATCTTATAACAGCTGTTACTAGTAGTTGCTCATACAGTTGCTTATTTCTTCATTCCTCATCAGCCCATTATAATTTGAATATTAATTACTTAAAACTGTTTAAGTCTATATAACCTCCACCGCTATCCCATTCGACAAGAAATTTTCTAAGGGCCTCAGAGTCGCCGCACCCATGTTTTCGTGGTATCGGCTACTCTTTTTATTCTTTTATACCAGCACATCATCATCATCATCATCTTCAATTTTCTTCATGCCTAGTGGCACATGCGGTTTCAGAAAAGACTTTTCATGCTCTCCGGTCCTGAGCAATCTTCAGTGCAGTTTTCCAACAATCTTCAGTGCAGTTTTCTAACAATCTTCAGTGCAGTTTTCCAACAATCTTCAGTGCAGTTTTCCAACAATCTTCAGTGCATTTTTCCAACAATCTTCAGTGCAGTTTTCCAACAATCTTCAGTGCAGTTTTCCAACAATCTTCAGTGCAGTTTTCCAACAATCTTCAATGCAGTTTTCCAACAATCTTCAGTGCAGTTTTCCAACAATCTTTAGTGCAGTTTTCCAACAATCTTTAGTGCAGTTTTCCAACAATCTTCAATGCAGTTTTCCAACAATCTTCAGTGCAGTTTTCCAACAATCTTTAGTGCAGTTTTCTAACAATCTTCAATGCAGTTTTCCAAGTCAGAGATCCGCACTCCGGTCACTTTCCATCGTCCGTCTACATGTTGTTTTTGGGTGCCCCTTTTTCTGTTTTCCTCTGGTATCCATTGAGTGCTGTTTTGGCAGGTATATCAGGATTCATTCTCATAACGTGGTCAAGCCATTTTGAATCCTCTTTTGGTTTTTACACTGTCTAGAGTTTCTTGGTTTGTGTCTTGAAATAGTTTAGTGTTTGAGATTGTATCTGGCCAGAACATTTTGATAAATCCAGGTAGAGATGTGTAATAGAAGGTATATAGCTTGTGGTCATTCTCCAGTATTCTGCTCCATAAAGAAAAACTGGAAAAATGATGCCTTTGTAGTCAGAGCTTCGTTCCTCTGCAGTAACTATAACAGAACATAATTAATTCTTAATAAATGCCATTGACTATTTGTAACATAAAAGTCAAGCCGACACGAACACATGATGCTGTCCACCACATAAATGAAAGCAGCTGCTCGAGTTAGTCTGTGAGTGACAAAACTGATATCTGTCATTACTAGAACCCCCGAAATATGTTCCATTCTGCTGGCCGCGGCTGATTACCTTGTCCTCCAAGCCTGGGATGATCCGGGTCATATCTTCGAGCTTGGCATTTCTTCTCAGAAACAGCGATATGGTCACTACAGCTGCAACTTCTGAAGACAAGAAGCCGAAACCTGCTGTAAAGAATGACCACCCGTATTGATAACTGAATCCGCCACTGCGTTTCTGGAAATGCAAAGATATTGTTGTTAAAAAAGTCTCGAAAAAAATCGTGTGTGCATACAAAAAATTAAATTAGACAAACAGAAATATTTGTCGACATTAAAAAAGAGACCAGTATACATTAAATACTAGACCCACTTTTGATGACTCAAAAGACATTTGCTGACCACAAATACTAGACTCACATTTGTTGACTTAAAATAAAAGACATTTGCTGGCAACAAATACTAGACTCACATTTGTTGACTTAAAATAAAAGACATTTGTTGGCAACAAATACTAGACTCATTCTAAACATACGCCCAAATGTCGGAGGCAGTTTTGTAGTAACAAATGCATCTTCAATGTCCTGTATCCACCTTCACAGACGTCGGACTCTGCTCGATTTCCGGAAACTACACCCTCTATCACTACCTTCTCCAGACCACCAGGACGCGGGAAATTTCCAAAAGACTTCAGCTTTCGGGAGAGGATGCTATTTACGGTCCAATTCTCCTTGATGTTCAGGTCATGCAGACTGTCCATGTGTTTATTTTTCTTTTGGGTCCAGGATATTCGATGAATTTTTATGTAGCATTCTGGTTCATTAGCTCTCAATTTCTTCTATAAACATTGAGTGAGTCCCTGATTCACAGGTATATGTTGTCAGTTAAGATCAGAAAATGAATGTTTTCTAATTAACATAACAAAGAGCTTTACATTTGTTCATGTTTAATAGATGCTTAAAATTATTCATATTAACAAAAAAAAGTTACATTAGTAAACATCGAAAGAGAGTCTTAAATTAGTCGATATCAACTAAGAAACTTACATGTGTGGATGCTCTATACCCTACTTCGTCGTTGATTGCAGAAATATACAAGATCATCCCTGTGGCCAAGGATAGACCTGAAAGAGTTACGGTAGCATGGCTTTCATCTGCGGTAGCAAAGTTTGAAATGGCTCTATAATTTAATAAAATATCAACAGCTAAAATAGCATCGTTGTCAAAAAACTGTAATGAAACTCCAAGGTAGCAGGATTTTGTATCTTTCGTTAACGCTCTAGAAGCAGTGACAGGGTCATGGGTAGAACGCCTGACTACCATCCTGGTGGTAAAAGAAATGGATCTTCATCCTATTACATATATTTTGTAATGACCTGAACGCCGAACCTAAAATGTGTACAAGAAAAAAGAAACGTTTTGGGAGGTAAATACGTTGTTGTTGGCATATTTCCGTCTTCCCAGACGACAGTGGTTATACTGTGCTGTAGACAGGCATGCGATTCACAACCCGTGACTATAGCGTGTGCTTAAACTCTTTTTTTCCCATTCACAGGATCCTTCATTCATGCCGTGGTTACTCCAATGGAAAGGTAACTTTTGGAACAAAGCCTGCTGCAAAAGCTGCTGGATCAGACGACTTGTGGCTCTGTATGACCACCTGGCGGGCAAGTAAAGACGATACACATAATAACCTCGACGTTATAAATAGAGTGCCGATTGATGTAAAAAATATTGACCAAAACACACTCTCTTCTTCTTTAGCATTTGGAACTTGAGATTCATTGCTGCAGATATCACTCGCCTCCACTTATCTGCCTAGTTGGCCTTCTCTTTCCAGCTGCTGACACCAAGTGTTTGTGGATATGTTTGGACGTTATCTCTACGTCGTCTTCTTAGTCAGCCTTGTGGTCTATGACCATACAGCTCCCTTGTGTATACAGTTTTTACCTTTCTCTTATCTGACATTCTCTCAATATGCCCGAGCCATTTCGGTCTGAATTTAGCTCTAATGATGCCAGTTATCAATGGTGATTTAAACAGATTATTAATTTCGTTATCTTGTCGCAGCTGAATGTCCATTCCCCGCTGTTTGCATTGTTGATAGCTCCACAGATTAGTCAAAATACTCTGGACAAACGTCTGAAACCTTCCGGTTGAGTTTACAGCCAGTGAGCGCGAAGAAAAACGTACCGGATATTATAATCGGCAAGATAACTTTCACACTTACCAGATAACACAATAACCCACACAATAAAAGTTGACTGTCAACTTACTAGATAATGTAAACAGCCACAAAACGAAAAATAACTGTTACACTTACCAGATAATATAAACAACCACAAAACGAAAGATAACTGTTACACTTACCAGATAATATAAACAACCCAAAAACGAAAGATAGCTGTTACACTTATCAGATAATGTAAACAACCATAAAACGAAAGATAACTGTTACACTTACCAGATAATATAAACAACCACAAAACGAAAAATAACTTGCACTTACCAGATAATATAAACAACCACAAAACCAAAGATAACTGTTACACTTACCAGATAATATAAACAATCCAAAAACGAAAGATAACTGTTAAACTTACCAGATAATATAAACAACTGTCGTGGAGTGAACAGCCAACCCTACACGATGGACGAGTCGTGACGCTGACTTCCCTAAGCGGGCACGTCACATTTCAAACTTAAACCCGTCCGGAGGGGTATATAATCCCTTATATTGATACATACCTTTATCTGGTGAAATAATCATTTCTAGACCCTCTAGTTGCTTTGAGAAGTCTACATTTTCAAACTTGCAACTGTGGGCTGAGTAGTTCTTGTATATAATTCAGAAATTCCTGTAAGCCTGTTTACTCCTTGGGTACGAATACAGGGACTTCTTTCCTAGAGACGCCTAGCTCAGTTTTGAGCGGGTTTATTTAGCCTGATCTCCAAAGTGTCAAGACGTGTATACAGTCTATGAATAAATTTCGCGCATTCAAAGTACCAGTTTTATCTTTGAAGAATTCCTAAGCTTGGGTAAGTTGATTATAGTTTACGAGCACTCTAATATATGTCTTTTTAAATTTGGCCACTGCTGCAGAGAGGAAAGATTCAGCTGTGTGATCGCGCAGAGTTGGGCCGTTTTTGATGTCCAGAGATCAGGCTTCGAACATTAAACCTTTTCCTGTGCAGACTAAATAGTTTGTGCTCTACATAACCCACACCATTTATAAAGAGATTAAACCCTACTAATAACTATTCTCTGACCAGACAAACGAAGTTTTGTGCCTAATAGCAGAAATATGGAATCTCAGTCGTCTTTTAACCAGATAGATACTGTGACGTCAGAGCTAGACGCTCTGAGTCAAAGGTGTGTTTGGCACGGAAACATTGGATGTGTAGTGAGCAGCCTGTGGAGACGTGAAATATATATATAGGTACTAACGGGATACATTGTATGTCTGCGAGTGCACATGTGAGTGTGGAGAGAGAATGATCTATATGTGGTAGTGTTTATCTATCTCCACTTTATACATTGTCTTCTATCTGGTGTACTAATTTACAGACAGATAAATGAAAGGAGACATTGTCTCCTGATCTTGAGAGTTACACTCTGAGGAATGGAGAAGGGTAGCAGAGTGTGGGGTGGGCTGGTGTGTGAATAAGGATGATTACTAATTATGAGTTCTTTCCTGGCAGGATGATACCTCCTTAGAGATCGGGCAGACGAATCACAGTCCAGCCAACAACCACCAACCCATACCATTCTGGGCACCAAGCATACCCAAAAGTCCTACCTATTGTTGGCACTACCTCAACATGACAGGAGCTTGTTTGTGAGTTCCAGGACTAGTAGACAATTGCAGACACCTATCTCAGCAATCCAGAGAATCAGTCTTCAAGAGCTTTGTTGGGCTTCTATGCAGTTCCTGTGTCCTAATCTGTAAGACAGTCAGCGTGTACCAGATCAAACCGAGGCATAGCTATCCACTGAGTCAACCACAGTCGAATCACCATGGACTGAGGGGAGCAGTGACCTACTAACTGGGATAAGTGATCTCTTAATCATATACATGCTCTCTTCCCACAGCTCCCTTTTGATTCCGATGATGAACTCATGTAATGTCCAGGAACTACATCTGGCTGCTTCAACATCTGGGTTGTGTCATTAATTACTGAACTCCCTTCACTGAACACTCTTGATTATCTATTCATTTATATATGTGTATAAATTGAACTTATTACATGCAGAAATTTTTATGGCTGACTTTGGTGTCCCTGTTTCACCATTCTAACTGTCCAGCTTTTATGTTTGTGTGAGTAAAAAGTGTAATCTGTGTTAACATGGCTATGATAGTATACTATCATAACCTGGTGGCTACCTTTTTATAGTAGTGTGGGTGTCCAGCAAAGTGTGCCTAGAAATATTATATATTTTGTAGTGCCAAAGTTTGAGTTGCCCTACTCCTGAAATAAGTTGAGCGAATATTGGCGACGGGATATCCCTTAGACCAATACGAGCCAACGACTCAACATTATTATTTCAGAGTGCTGTTGGTTCTTAAGGAGAAATCCTTATATCAAGCACGTGACAGGAGCGGTATGTGACAACAACCACAAAACTAAAGATAACTGTTACACTCTCCAGATAATGTAAACAACCACAAAACAAATGATAACTGTTACACTTACCAGATAATATAAACAACCACAAAACAAATGATAACTGTTGCACTTACCAGATAATATAAACAACCACAAAACAAATGATAACTGTTACACTTACCAGATAATATAAACAACCACAAAACCAAAGATAACTGTTACACTTACCAGATAATATAAACAACCACAAAACGAAAGATAACTGTTACACTTACAGGTAATATAAACGACCACAAAACGTAATATAACTGTTACACTTACCAGATAATATAAACAACCACAAAACAAATGATAACTGTTGCACTTACCAGATAATATAAACAACCACAAAACAAATGATAACTGTTACACTTACCAGATAATATAAACAACCACAAAACCAAAGATAACTGTTACACACACCAGATAATATAAACAACCACAAAACGAAAGTTAACTGTTACACTTACAGGTAATATAAACGACCACAAAACGTAATATAACTGTTACACTTACCAGATAATATAAACAACCACAAAACGAAATATAACTGTTACACTTACCAGATAATGTAAACAACCACAAAACCAAAGATAACTGTTACACTTACCAGATAATATAAACAACCACAAAACGAAAGATAACTGTTACACTTACCAGATAATGTAAACAACCACAAAACGAAATATAACTGTTACACTTACCAGATAATATAAACAACCACAAAACCAAAGATAACTGTTACACTTACCAGATAATATAAACAACCACAAAACGAAAGATAACTGTTACACTTACCAGATAATATAAACAACCACAAAACGAAAGATAACTGTTACACTTACCAGATAATATAAACAACCACACAACGAAAGATAACTGTTACACTTACAGATAATATAAACGACCACAAAACGTAATATAACTGTTACACTTACCAGATAATATAAACAACCACAAAACCAAAGATAACTGTTACACTTAGCAGATAATATAAACAACCACAAAACGAAATATAACTGTTACACTTACCAGATAATATAAACAACCACAAAACGAAATATAACTGTTACACTTACCAGATAATATAAACAACCACAAAACGAAATATAACTGTTACACTTACCAGATAATGTAAACAACCACAAAACGAAATATAACTGTTACACTTACCAGATAATGTAAACAACCACAAAACGAAAGATAACTGTTACACTTACCAGATAATATAAACAACCACAAAACGAAAGATAACTGTTAACACTTACCAGATAATGTAAACAACCACAAAACAAAAAATAACTGTTACACTTATCAGATAATGTAAACAACCACAAAACAAAAAATAACTGTTACACTTACCAGATAATATAAACAACCACGCAACGAAAAATAACTGTTACACTTACCAGATAATGTAAACAACCACACAACGAAAGATAACTGTTACACTTACCAGATAATATAAACAACCACACAACGAAAGATAACTGTTACACTTACCAGACAATGTAAACAACCACACAACGAAAGATAACTGTTACACTTACCAGATAATGTAAACAACCACACAACGAAAGATAACTGTTACACTTACCAGATAATATAAAGAACCACACAACGAAAGATAACTGTTACACTTACCAGATAATATAAACAACCACACAACGAAAGATAACTGTTACACTTACCAGATAATGTAAACAACCACACAACGAAAGATAACTGTTACACTTACCAGATAATATAAATAAGACTCCACCTATCAATGTCTTGGAGTCTTTTCTTATGTTGCCAGTGACGCTAAAGATGACAGCGACAACGGAAAGGATAAGCGACGACAAAGTTAAGGCCACTGATCGACGCGCTGAAGCTGACAGAAGGTGAGATATACAATAGTCATTGGTGAGGTGGCAACATCATGTGTGCAATTAATTGTGTAATTAACTCATTCGGTACCATGCTATTCACATTGTGTTCACTGGTTATTCTAAATAAAACAAACTATTGTTACTAGTTTCTGTCACAAATAGCTAATTTAATTAACTTATTACTCGTGATAAGCGAAGTGCATGGACTTTCTCGGCTAGAACCAAAGGGAAGATCATTAAAGAAGACAGTGGAGCCTTGGCTTCTGCCATTAGCAACATGACAGTGGAGCTCATGGCTGCGACAAAGGCCCTAGGATGGTTGAAAACTCAGGATTTCACCAATGCATGTTTGTCAGCGACTCAGTGAGCTTTCCACAAAAGATCAAGGCGGGGTACATACGGAAACTGTGGCTCCATTTGATACAGCGCAGAAAGTTTCGCAGTCACCCTTATTTTTGTCCAAAGGTATGTAGGTATGAAAGGCAATGAAAGATAGGCTCTGGCATATCAGGAATAGAACCTCTATGGATAGGAGAGACATTATTAATGCCATACGAGAGATTAAAAACTGGAGGCTTTCAGTTTCATTGAATGATTTTTCAATCAAAAGAGTCCATGCACTGGGTGTACCAATTGGAGCAGCGAGACAGGAAAACCATGCGGGAGCCACCCGTCGTTTCATCAACCACAGTGGGAGTTATTAATCTAAATACACTTGGAGACATACTCAGGAGGAGATCGGAGCACTTATGGTCATGTTCGATGTGCGATGAAGATGACCTCAAAAATGAACAATGAACAGACATTTACATAAAAGTATATAGAAAATCTAAGCATTCTGACCCACTCCTCTTCTCGCCCAATGTTCTCCAGCATGCATGCTTGTCTTTTTGTGTCTTTTGCTTGAGCTATCCACGATTTTTCCCTTTTCAGCCTCTTACCCTTGCCTGCAGCCAAAGCTTCATTCAGAGGGTGTTCCATGTCTGCAGCTACTATGAGGTATGACTTAACCTGCAGCACCTTTAGCCTATCTGCAATAGTCGGCAATGCAAGGATGGATCACATGCACATAATCGCGGTGTTTCTTGTGCAACCCAGGATCAGCCGCATAGCTTCATTCTGTATGCGCTCCAGTTTCTCTAGCTGACTCTTCAAGACAGTGAGTAACACCGATCCATAATCTGGTCACTGAGATGATTAGGTGCTGGTAAAGTGTGAACAGCATTCTCTGCTCCGTGTCCATCGCTGCCCTAATTTTGTAGGTATGAAAAAACAAACATAGAGGCGTTTCTGCAATTGTTTACCACAAAGGCGTAAGTCAGTTTTTTTTTCTCTCTAATGTAGCTTACCGATTAGCATACAACGTGAGTTACGCTTTTACACCTTGAGACTTAACTTTACACCTTAAAATGCAACATTACACCTTGTGACGCCGCTTTTCAACTTGAAACGTAACTTCACACCTTAAGATACAACTTCACAACTTGAGACGTAACTTCACAACTTGAGACGTAACTTCACAGCTTGAGACGTAACTTCACACCTTAAGATGCAACTTTACACCTTGAGACTCAAATTTACACCTTGAGACGTAACTTCACACCTTGAGACGTAACTTCACACCTTGAACGACTGAATGTTGATTAAACATTTGAACTTTTTGCTGTAAAACTCTTGAAATATCATTCATCAATACTCATGGTTTTTTTTTTTTTTTAATGAAATTTGCGCATTACTGAAGTTATTTTACAAATAAATATGCATTACTGAATCTATGTCACAATGAGATATGCGCATTACTGAAGTTATCTTACGAAGAAATATGCATTACTGAATCTATGTCGCAATGAAAAATGCGCATTACTGAAGTTATCTTACAAGGAAATATGCATTACTGAATCTATGTTACAATTAAATATGAGCATTGCTGAAGATCTCTTAGATAGAATGATGCGCATTACTGAAGCTCTCTCGTCACTCTTCGCTGCATCACTCTCTCCAAATTTTGATGATCCATCTGCATCGACTATTTCAAATGGTTTCATGTTAGCTACGTATTCTAGACAGGGCGTTGCAGGACCAGCTCTAGCATGTTTTAGCTGTTTGGTTTAATTACACAATTCTACGTTCAGTAGTTTACCATTGGTATTGAATGGTCGGCTCTCGAGAGCAGCGTCGAAATAACACACAGCGGTCGGCTGATATGCCGTCCGCAGCTAGAGTAAACCCGGGTGCAGTTGGAATCAGACGGGGAGTTACATCGGAATTGCGAAGCGCGTTCGTAACGCCTAAGCCACAAACCAAATGGTTTCAGCCTGGAAAAATTTATACTTCTGAGATATGAAAGTAGACTTACGGACTTAGCAGGTTCATGGAAACAAGAATAAACGTGGAAATTAAACGAAGCGGACGATTTGGCATGGACAAAGGCTGTCTTTTAACAAAATTTCATCATCATCCTCGTCACCACCACCACTATCTCCTTTATCGCCATCATCATCATATCCTGTTGTGCCATTTTATCTTCTTCTTCTTTCGCTCGCTTGAAATAGATTATCTCTATCTGCAATGCTGTCTCTAATTTGAACTTTACTATCTTTTGTAATTCACTCAGCGACCCGTAAAGTTAGACTCGCACCGATGTTTCTCTTGGCCAAAAGTTTTGCCTTGATATGTTGTATTTGGGACAGTCTGGGAGGACATAATCTGTTGTCTCGGTATCTAGTCCACATGTGCACATTGCTGATTCGTCAATTTTAAATTTATATACATGTGGCTGCGAAGTCTATTGTGTTTTGTTCCAAGGCGTAGAATAATAACTTGCTCTGGTCTGTCCATAAAATTGTTATCGTCATTTTATGTCTTTCAGGAATGGCAATCTGTTCCAGCTGTTGTTGTAATATGTGAAATTCTTTCCATATCACAAATGGAATTAAATCCAACTCTTTTGACCTCTCTCATTTTCGTAGGTTTTATAGTTTCTTTTCGGCGCTGTAGTTTCTTCAATGGAGACGGAGCGCTTATGGGAATGCCCCGAGTGATGGGATGTCGGTTCTTGAATCAAATCAAATCAAATCATTTACGTGCCTATTTGGCATTTAATCGCTTTCCCCGAATATGTCAAATATAATGCTAAAATCAAAAACAAAACAAAAAAGCACTATGAAAGATTTCAACACCTGCTAGTATTTGGACACACAGATGCATAACAGACAAAGGAAGTGGGTGACCTTAACAGCTCCAAAACAGGATTTCCATGGCAAAACACTGCACAACCAACATGATGTACCTATAATGGTGAACGATGTAGTGCTGAGAAGTTCTCCTCTACCAGTCCCTTTGACTTCATAACTGATGGCCATACAGCTGATAATGTCGGGTACTGGACAGAAACACGAAAAATATGTCAGTTCATTGCTTTTAATAACACGTAAATCTAACTAATGGGCACAAATTGAGGCTGAGTTAACAGAGGGTGACCAAACAGACACTTACACAAGAAACACATGAACTGAGAAAACCAGGACACACAAGAGAAACTTTAAAACGAACGTTAATGAGAGAAGTCAAAAGTGCAGGACTCAGTGCAATTTATAATATCGAAACGATTACACAAACATATATCCTACATAAGAACCTGCCGGGTCAAGCCTCTACACTTCCCCTCCCCTCCCCCAAATTACACAATACTAAAAAGAAAAAAGAAAAAGCCTTCTCGGCGGGCACCTTCACACAACCACCATAATCATTGATCAGGTCTGTGTTCTCCTCCTCGTGTTGCCATGAGGTCAATTTGTCTAGGCATTTATATCTTTGTCTGTCCATGACCCTTTTCTGTAACGTTTCCATATTTTACCGAATTGTCAAATGTATTGCTCAAAATGAGCGTTTATTTGAAACCCATTCTATTGCTTTGTTACAAAGACAGGAGAGAAACATCAACAGCAGTGGCAGAACTGAACAAAGAATTTATTTTGAATGAATTATTCACGGTGGATTGGTCAGAAAAAGATGCCATAGTCATTCAGAAAAGTATCCCACAATTTAGGTAGTCAGTGAATGCCATCCGCAAAAAAGGAATTGGGGTTGCGCACTGAACCATGCGTTAACCGCATTGATTACGTCTCGTGGTACAACTAAAAAAAAAATCATTTGACGTAGACGTGTTGTTTATGAGAGACGAAGCACTGCATAATTATCTGCACAAGAACAGACTTTATCCGTGACTCTCATGGTTGTGGGAACTTGTGAGGAATAACTATACATTTTAGACAAAGATGTTTCCACTTATTGCAAATATCCACACACACACACACACACACACACACACACACACACACACACACACACACACACACAAAATCAATGGTAATTTTAGTCCATATTATTAAAATATACAAATTGGTAAAGTTGTCCCACGAAAAGCGATCTGAGGAAACAGACACAGGAGAAGGAAAAAACATTTCCAACTTATTGTTTTCTTCCTGGAAGGTAAAGATGTGAACACACAACCTGATAATGCATTTACAGATCGGAAGTTATGGAGAGAAATGATCGCTCAAGCCAACAGGCAGTGCATTTGATAACGCTCATGATGATGCTAATAAGGATTTTCAAGCCAAAGCTTGCATGGAGCCTGACTAACCGAAACAGTACATTTTCTCTTTATCTAGAACAAATCCAAACTACGTTTCTAAAACGGTTAGTTATTTTTCTTTTATTATTATTATTATTATTATTATTATTATTATTATTATTATTATTATTATTATTATTATTATTATTATTATTATTATTATTATTATTATTATTTCTATTGCAATCGAAAGAGTAGTTCTTTGGCGTGACTCCGTAAACTAATTGTTCGACGAGATTCACAACCAAATCTTGTTACTTCAAGTACTTTCGTGCATTGCGCTGAAGTCAGATCCGTGAATACAATAACGTGTATCGTACTCGAGATTTTCACTTCATCAGAAATTATCCCAGGATCATACATTTCTACACAATTGTTTCTGTCCCTGGAGTTTTACAGTATTTCAGTTTCTTAGTAATCGTTACTGGGATTCTCTGTAGGGAGTTTATATCGTATTTTGAAATACTGGGCGACGTTCTCTGCAGGAGGGGTTAACCGTATTGGATACACCCTATTGTAGTGAAATCGATTCTCTCTTATTCTTCGCGTACAACGGCAGTAAACTCCGGAGAAAAGTTCTGGTTGTTTGTCTACCTCTGGACTTTAGTCTCGTTCCAGAACCTGTGTGCTGCGAGTACATCCGTTAAACAGAACTGATTTAATTGTATGCAGATTATTGGTTTCTTGCCTTTCCAGCAGATGCACTTTGACTTCGAAGGAGCACCCACTTAATCGACTCTTACGACATGCTTGTTTAGGTGGTGGGGTGGGGGCAGTTGGTCCTTTCTTGTCCCCCCCCCCCCTCACCACCCACCCACCCCACAATGGAGCTCTAAAACCAATGCAAGGAATCGAATCTCTAGACATTAACTTCAACTTGGCAAGTACTCCTATTCCTTTACATGTATTGGTTTTTCCACATCAAGTAAATCTTCTGGGTATTATGATTTCCACCATAAAAGGTTTGAGATTTGAACAACGAATCAACATCATGGCACACGGATAGTAAACCATAAGTGCTTCGTTTTTGTTCTAACTCAAGTCTAAGCCCGAAGAAGCTCAGCACAGTGCATAGGCTCTGTAGCACCGGCAAGAATCCTGAAATACTTTGGGTAAATTTTTAACTCCAAATTTTGCACGGGCAGTGTCCGATCTCAGTACCCAGAGACCAGGGAGAATTACTAGAAGTCCGAATCAACGTGAAAAAAAATCCCAGCCCTTAGCGGGGATTGAACTCGGAACCTCTAGACCATACCTCGAGACCACACAGCCCCCATTATTTCTACCATAAGATATCCATAATCTCCTTTAGGATTTATTTCCATCGTTTAATTTTGTACATCCTGTTTGTCGGCGGGTTAAAATAAACATGTTTTAAAAAATCGACATTTCAGAAGAAGAGATTAGCGAATCAAATTTGTTTCCCATTTAGAGGGAGAATGCCTTGTGACGTCATACCATACAAGACATACGCGAAAAGAACATTACAAGGTAGACACACACACACAAAACAAGATGGAAAAACAGCGCCAGAGAAACTCTAAAACAGCACAATGTGTCTGTGGTGGAGGGGGCCAGAAAAGTAAGAAGTAGAACCTTATACCTACCTCGACACCCGAAGCGGTAAAACAGGAAGTTTTCTTTTTTTCTTCTTGTTCACCGGCTGTGAATTCCGGCGGTAAGTCACGGTTGTTCGTCCAAAATGGACTTTTGGCTTTTACCTTGACCTGAGTTTTGCGTGTACATCCGTTTTACTGGCTTATTTGTTTGCAGTACTCGTTCCCCGCCTCTCCGGCAGATGTACTCCGACTTCGGAGGAAGACGTCAAGCCTATTTCTAGGTTGACTGTGGCCATTGTTTTGTGTGGGTCGAGATGTTGCCTTATTTGTGTGGTGTCCTCTTTGACTTTTAACAAGTGTGGCCCCCGGCATGTCGTCCTTAAGGCAGCTCTATGTAGAGTTTTCAGCCCTCAAGGGAAGGCAGGGGCAGATTATGGGCATTCCCCGCCATCCAAGGAGGCTTCCATAAATGCAGAGCCGACACATGATGCTCTGGTTCTGGGCTCACCCAAGGAATCGTCACGTCCTGCCCACGACTGCTTAACCTCACAACCGTGTATTGAGCTTCCCGCGCTACAAGGCTGCGCTCTCTGGAGATCAGCGGGGAGCAGCCCGCAGGTCTAGGACGTTTGTGGCCACACAAATAGGTACATTCTTTTTCATCTTACGTTAGACACCTTTAACGTTGTTTCAGCTGTGCCCTTAGCACGACAGAATGGGGAGGCAAAAAGCGTCAGGTGTGGCTTCACCTGTTTGGTCCCAACACTCGGGCGAGTTGGACCAGTGGATACGGACATTCAGACTTTTCCTAATCGGTACGAGTTATGATCGTCGGACTTTGAGCTGGCATGTGTGCCGTGGGGTGTAACGTTGTCGGACATTGTTTTCAAGCCAGCATATGAATAGTTGCTGCCATGGTGTACCTCAGCGCGGTGACGACGACACTGAGGATTGACAGAGGATGTACGTAGGTGGGATCTTGCTGCGAGAAGTCGCCCACAAGAGATGTTACTCGTCTTTGCTGCGGGTAAATCTCTCGGTCAGGGTTGAGTCTCAGCAGCACAGTTTTCCATTCGCTCCCGAATTTTAACCAAGAGTTGTCATTTGATGGTACATTTAGCAAGCAGTCCTTGAGTTTTGTTACTTTTCACCCATGCGTTTGGGGGCGGGCTGGTGAGAGCCAGAAAGGACTCTACACCTCTAGGGGCCGCCAGCTCCGAGATCCCCTGCCAACTCTGTTAATGCTCATTTGAGACATTATTCGTGGCGCACGACGGGGACGTGCAACAGGAGTCTTGCATGAGGTTCCGTAAAACCAGAACAGTGAAGGGCTGGCCCCCGAGTGGGGTACGGAATATCTCCTTATACACATCACATCAGACTTAACTTCCCCTCATGCCTGTGACCGAAATCACCGCGCCACAAAACAGGAAGTGAAGAAGAAAAAGAGGAATAGAAAAGAAGCAGTAAAGAATTCATACTTATGTGGCAAACAGCCTCAGCTGCCTAGTCATTAGCCGCTCGCCTTTTTGTCTGATGGATTCGAACGCATACTTATCGAATTTTAAAGAAAAACAAACGAACCTTAGCTTTCGATTGAACCCGACGTCAATGGGTACGAAGAAAATGCAAATGGAAGTACAGGCGGTCGGCATGATTTTAACCACATCGCCCGTCGGGAGCCGATTAGAGAAAATAAATTTGAGTCTTTCGTTATTTGCCCGCTGTGCCACTAACTGAAAAGGATTATTTACTAAACATGTCCGTGGTCAAGCCGTTCGCCTTGCACTCTGAAGGTCTTGGTTCGTTTCACGGCGGCGCCGTTTAGTTCACGAATCCGATATTTACGGAAATCACTGGGGATTGTCACCGGCGCTACGGAGGTTGTGCTCTGTACGATGCTCTCCGCTAGCTGATCTGCGAAGAGAGACTGCGCCATATGTGATAAAAGCCCGTTGCAATGAAGTCAAACATCTCACTATATCCTTTACATTTACCGTATGTGGGAAGAAAGCAACACAGCCAGATGAAATTCCCCCATGGCGTGCATTGTACTAGGTGTATTTTGAACGCTAAAACAATGTTGGCAACTAGTAAGACCATAATCAGCAGGGAGCTGTATATTTGGACCGCTTTATGAAGCACGATAAATGGCTTGGTACACTAAGAGTTAATAACTAATTCGATTGTTTGTTTGTCTGTTTGTTTGCGTACATTGGCTGTAAACCCTGGCAGAAAGTCGTAGTTGTTCGTCTATTTCTGGACCTTGGCTTTGTTCCATGACATCAGTTTTGCCTGTGTATCCGTTTTACAGATTTGACTTCCTCGTGTGAGACTGCTGGTTCCTTGCCTCTCATGCTGATCCACTGCGACTTCGAAGAAAACACCACCACTATTAAGTCGCCTTCTATGATTTGCTTGTTGGCTTGTAGGTTTTAAAAAAAAAATACCGGAGCGCGGGGTGGAAAAGGGGGGGGGGGGGGGGGGCGGGCGGAAACCATACGGGGAATATATCTAAGTGGGGAAATGAAAGAACACATGTGTTAGTTTGCTCTGATATTTAATTAGATTACCACGGGCACCGTTTTTATGGAAACTTCTTTGGCCACTGAAGAAAGGAACGGAGCACGTATGAGAAAATCCCAAGTGCAGTAATGTTAATTCTCGATTTATTCATTTATGACAGTTTACTTACCCTCTTCAGACACCATGCATAATCTCCAGAGTCCAGTCCACACCCGAATCCAAATCAAACCGATGGTGGCGTTACCCAAGAGCTCCGGGTCGATAGACAGTGCTTCTCGCGTGAGCAACCAGGAGTCTGTAGACACTGCTAGGGAGAACAGACCAACAGACATGGCGCCGAGAACGAATGACAGCACTGTCAGTTTGTAGACAGTGCACATGTTCAGTGTCTGCAGTTCCAGCACTGTCTGTAACAGGCATATTGGCAAGTTGAAATGTTCATGTCGTGAGGTCCTTCAAGCACTGTTTATGGACGTAACAAAAACTGAACATTCAATTGTAAGACCTAGCGGGAAACTGTGCTAATTAAACACGTTTATGTCGTAAGGCTCATCGAATTCTGTTTACAGTCTGTAAAGTAGATGGTATTTAAAATGCATTTTCTGTATATACTTGAAATATACGAAATTCACATGTTCATGTTGCGGGGCAGTGTGCAGTATACCATTGTAAAGTAAATGGTGTTTACATATTTATTTTCATAATTAATTAAAACGCTGACTATAGAGGGGAAATATGAAATTCAAGAGTTCATGACATGTGGTCATCAAGCAGTGTTTATAGTTAGAGACACCTTCGTTGTATGACACAGCTTAAATTCCCCTATTTTAGCAGCAAGTTTCTTCTGCTTTCTTCGTTCGCTTGAAATAGATATCTATATATCCAGTGTTGTCTCTAGTATAAACTTCACTGTCTGTTGTAGTTCACTCAGCGACCCGTAAAGTTTGGCTTGCACGTAGCGGCAAGCGACATTTACAAATTCATGACTTTTGACCAGTTAAATACGGGGTGTAGTTGTATCGTTTGACCAGTCAAACACTGTGAGTAGCTGTAACGACAAGTAAGATATACAAGTTAAATGAAGGTAAGTAAGTAGCTAATAAACTTTTTTCTAACGCCATTTGTGCATCGAGCACATAATTCTGGACTTACTTGTACAGACAATCGATGGGTGATGTGGTCAGTAACAGGTCGGCTGCCTCCGCTTTTCAAAACGTTCCCTGGCACCCATTGGAGGCTGGGTCGACCTTAAAGCAAGGGTCAATTCTCAACAACAACAACGCACACATACACAAACACTATATTTTCATTTGATCTTATGAACATCGGACTGACAGGCGAACGCTTAGCTGCTACACTAATGCGGTTTCCCCTAATTGTGTGACTTAGTTCAAATACGCTGTGAAAAGCGTGTGATGCGAAGTTTTGTAACAAGTTGTAAGGGCGTAACTTAATGTGGTTAGTTTCTGTCTTCTCAGAATGGCTCTGAAAGTTAAATTCGTAACACTCAAAAATATAATATTTCAGTTAAATACATATTTTCATTTCAGGGTAAACGAAGTTGTTTGTAGTATTCTATTTCAAACCCAGAGAAAAGAACAAAACATACCCTAGATATTATCGACCAGACATTCTCAATTTAGGCTATAGAAAAGTCCATTATTTCTACACATGTTTATCGTTTTATCTTTCTACACATGTTTATCTTGTTATCTTTCTACACATGTTTATCTTTCTACACATGTTTATCTTTCTACACATGTTTATCTTTTTATCTTTCTACACATGTTTATCTTTCTACACATGCTTATCTTTCTACACATGTTTAGCGGAGAAGGAAAAGGGAAAATGTACAGCTTTGACAAAGAATGTTGGACGATACATAATTAGTGACGCTGAAGAAATTAAAACTTACACAGAACCATGGCATAGATATATCCAAAAGTACACTATGGAAAATTTAAGAGGTACGGGGACTTACCCCTCATGATAAACAATAACAGAAAAACCCCAACTTCTATCATACGTTTATTTCACGTGGGTACTGTAAAATTTGCTTTGCTACCTAAATAAAATTATACAAGTGACGAACTTTACTAAGAAATCGCCTGTTTTGATACAACTGTGCAGTAAAATTGTATTTATATTTCAAACATCAACGTTGAGATTAACAAAAGAGCTCATACAAGATCAAACAAACAAACAAACAATTAAAATCACGTTTCCAGGATAAGTAATTAAAATCTGGAAATAAAGTTTACTATGCCTTTCAACATCTGTCAAAGTCAAAGTGGTTATCTCGCAACACCAAGATCAAAATATATAAAACGTTGATAAGTCCAGTCGTTTTATATGGCTCTGAAACTTGGAGCACAACTAAAAGATATGAAGCCTTATTACAGGCTTTCGAAAACAGTCTTCCGACGAATCTTTGGACCCATCAAAGATGCAAACAGCTGGGAATGAAGAGTGAGAAGCAATAACGAAATTCATAATCTGTTTAAATCACCACAGATCACTGGCATCATGAGAGGTAATAGACTGGAATGGTTGGGGCATATTGAAGGGATGTCAGATGACAGAGAAGTAAAAACTGTAAACTCACGGGAGACGAATTATCGTAGACCACGAGACAGTTCAAGAAGAAAATGGAGAGATAATATCCAGACAGACCTACAAACACTTGGTGTCACCAACTGGAAAACAAAGACCAGCCTGAGAGATGACTGATATCTGCAGCAATGAACCTCAAGGGCTCGGAATGCTGAAGAAGAAGAAAAAGGATAAGAAATTATGGAGCAATTGTCAAAAATACAACATCATAAATTTATGAATGGACTATAGATAAAGTAATGTAAATAACTGCAATGAAAGATTAGATTTATATATCACAATAATATATATAATTCAAATATTGGTCAATCTCTCTCTCTCTCTCTCTCTCTCTCTCTCTCTCTCTCTCTCTCTCTCTCTCTTCTTTTACCCCACTAGGACATCACACAAGCAATAAACACCCGATGACACAAAATGGATCAGCCGTGGAAGGGTCCCAGAAACCGCGTTCAGCCATTAGACCATATTTATAGCCGAGCTATATTGCGGCCCCTGGCAAGACCCAGAGTAGGGCTTCAAATAATGAAAAATTGTATCCCATAAAGGGTTGACGAGACATGAATACGTCAAAAATTGGTCGCTGCGAGTGGCTGATCATGTAAAGTATATAAATGGATTGAACAATATGTTACAAATTACTGGATGACGTAGTTCAAAAATGGCATACAGTAGCAAAATGTTACATTAGTTTTAGGTTTAGACGACAAATCAACAGCATGGCACAAGGGGTAACCAATATGTGCTCCGTTCTAGCCTGAGTAGGGAGAATCTCAGTGCAGTGCACGAACTCCGTAGCACGGTGAGGATCCTGAAGATCCTGAAATACTTTGGGTAGATTTTTAACTCCAAATTTAGCGTGGGCAGCGCCGTTAGTCTACTATTTTCGATTGTTCAACTGGCAAGGAATTATTTGTATATGCGCAGCAATACACACGGGCTTCCGATCTTACTACCCAGAGACTAGGAGGAATTACTAGAAGTCCACGCGAAAAAATCCCAGCCTTCACCGGGGCTTGAACCCAGGATCTCCAGATCTCTAGGCGGACGCCATGTTTAGAGACCACGCAGCCTCCTGTAACATACGCAAGTACATGACACCAATGCAATCAAGCACTGTAGATATCTATAACGATAAAGAAAATTGCAAATTTGCAACAACAACAAAGAAACAAAAAAAAGTATTATCTGTAAAGTACTACATTTTTTGGTGGTCGTTAAGGGTGCCCCAGTAATAACTTCTTTTCAGTTTGAAAGGGTTAACTAGAATTACCCTGTTGATCGGCCATCCAGGCTGAGATTTTGTAATCTAAAGGTGTCACTACTTAGAACTGTGGTATTTATCTGGGTCAGACAATTTAAGACGATGTTCTGGCAACATTTCAACGTCAGAGGACCCGCCCACAACAGTACCAGCACCCCAAGAAGAATGGGGGGGGGGGGGGGGGGGGCGTCGACTTTGGCAAACAGTGAATTTGCTTATGAGGCTCCTGGTACTGAGAGGGGGTTTAGGGGGGGGGGGGTGGGGACAAGTCTAGTTATAAAGAGAGATAACAACAAAATACAAATTTTAAGGGCAAGCTAAGTGTTCCATGCCGTAACAAATAGAAAGGTTCTATGGTAAATAACTGCAGTGCATGTTAAGTTTTAGTGATTGTAGAGTTAAGTATAAGAAATACACAGAAATCGTAGTTGCACATAGCACTTTGACATACACATTGCTACCAGAATGACATTCGAAAATTTCCGGCCTGTCGCCCTATCTCCTATGATAGAATTTGGTAGTCATTTAAGGTTGTGTTGACATGGAAGACCAGGCCTTGTTTCGAATACGGTTAATAATTTGTATATACCTGGCTCGATTTAGCAGCATGCGATTAGGTAACAGGCCGCTATGCGTTGATTTGACAATGGTATAGAAAGCCATACGTTTAGAAAGGTGGCAGAAAGATAGACGTAGAGGGGAGAACGGGAAAAGTTAGAGAGATGAGATAGATAGATAGATAGATAGATAGAGAGAGAGAGAGAGAGAGAGAGAGAGAGAGAGAGAGAGAGAGAGAGAGAGAGAGAGAGAGAGAGAGAGAGAGAGAAATTAAAAACACGAGAAACGTCCCAGACTCGAGACACTAAAATACCCAGACACCGAAAAACAGCTATAATAGATATAAATACCGCCGGTATAGAGAACCAAATAACCGTCGAAAGTAACACCACATGGCTTGTATCCAAGTTTAACAGGTACAGACAACGTTTAACAGACAATATTCTAAGTCCCCAAAATCTTAACTCAGATAAAATTATATTTGTGCAGACTGCGGAGAGACGTAGAATAGTTCAATCTAGAGCAATAAACAATGTCCAAAAAGGTTGATTTGTCTAGGTTCTGTACTACTTAGAACTGTGGTACTTATTTGGGTCAGACAATTTAAGACGATGTTCTGGCAACATTTCAACGTCAGAGGACCCGCCCACAACAGATATATTATGGTACTAGTATAGGTGCGGAGCGGTAAATACCGATTGGGAACATGACCCCGGTCGGGTTAGGTTCATGTTAATCTTCCCAGACAAAGTGGGTGACTTTTCATTCACAAGTTTGTTGGGCTGTTCGACTTTCCTGAAGGTTACGGATGTGTCCCGCTCTGTTGTTTGCTTTCTGTGGTGTCTTGCATTTACGTTGTCATTCTGATAAAGAGAATGTCTGGGACATAGGTTGCAGCACTCTCTAAGGGGTGAGCTGTGTTAGGACCAGTTGGTTTATGTTTTTGGA